GCCTGCCACCTGCTGTGCAGCAGCCTTGCTTGGGGAAGACACTTCATATCGCTTAGCATGCATTTAGCACTACTCCGAGCTAGTAGAATTCCTCTGTCACATGGCTTAGTCCTGCTTAGCAGATGCACTGCAACAGATGGAGGTGCTTTCCATTGCTATATATTAATTATGGCCTCTACTTGTGTTTTAAAAATTGAATTTTAATGGGTCCTTGGCATAAGGCACACACTATGTACCACTTAGACAGTTGTGAGTTTGCATCTGTTTCATCTGCTCCAATAAAGCATCCTGTGTATCAGTCAGGCCATCAATAAGTCGTATTTTCTGGGTAAAATGTACTGTATATATGGATATTGAGCACTTGTATTTTCTCAGTCAGTCATTTATTCATTTGACAGGGGTTTAACTGACAGTTATATAACAATAGATTGATCGATCAGGGATATCAATTGTAATGTCCTGTACTCATAACTGGATTACATTGTATTCATGTTTTGGCAGCTTTGTGACTCACGGATGGCTAAAATAGTTCCCCTTGTTTAACTTTTCTGGGTTAACCAATGGTGTCATCCCTTGTAGTCCATTAGTCATGCTTTTGGGCAGAGCAAATGGCCAATTTTCTTACCATGCGCTTGTGCGTTTATTTTTGGTCATCCAACAATGATATTCATAGGTTGGCCCACTATTTTAGGGGAAGAAGTGGTAGCATTATGCAACAATACAACCTCAGGGGAAAGCCATCTACAATGGATTTGTAATAGGAAACTGGGCCGTGCACTGAGGGGTAAGAAGTCTGAGGTAGCCATGTGGATGAGGAATCTTTGTCTTCCCATCATGGGCCGACACACTTTGTCTCTCTTTATCTCCTTCCTGTGTCTTCAGTCTTCCTCATCCACATCCTGCTGTCTCACTGCTTTCATTTCCTTACATTTTCATCCATCACTCTATTCCTATTTCAATTTTGTTCTAATTTATCTACTTTCTCCACATCCTCATCTCAGGGATTGTCTTTCCGCTCAGCTAGATCTCCCTTCCTTTCTCTCCTTGTGTGATCGCCTCAGGCCTCGTGCTCGCCCCACCCCCTGTCTGTTGGGACAATTGAGAGGAAACAAAACGGAGAAGACAGCCGAGTGGGCCTCTTGAGTTAGGAATGAGTAAGTAAGGAGAAGGGTGTTAACATATCGAGTCTGCTTTTACAAGGGGGAACTACTCAGACCTAATTTAGGTAGCAGTTAAGTGGTCGGAGCTTCCAATTTGATTCTTAACCAAGGAGCGAATGTGTGCCCACTCCAGTCAGTAAAAGATAAATGGTGTTTTTAAACTTAATGGAAGGTTTGAGCACTTGGGAAGAGATGGTTTCAAGGATGGGCTTTTTCAGTGTGTGTGTTTGTGCAGGTACAGTCTCTGTGTGCATCCTTCCTCTGAATGGATGTGCTACATAATTCAGAAGCCATTATTGGTGCGCCCTACTGCTGAGAAGAAAGGACAGTAGAGATAGAGAGAGAAAGAGTGATGGACAGAAAAAAAGAGGAGAGTGTTGTTCTTGCTTTAAAAGCTACCTTGGAATAAATATTTCCCCTGAAAAGAATACATGTATGGGCTCCTTCCAAAGCCCAGTGCATGTTTAAAACACCATGGGTCTAACGTCTTTAAAGGGGCCCTTTTATGCCTTTTGTGGTTTTCCCCTTCCTGTAGTGCAGGGGTGTCAAACTCAAAGCCCGGGGGCCAAATCCGGCCCGTGACTTCATGTTATGTGGCCCCGCAAGAGCTTGCAAAGAATATAATATGTTTATTATACGATTACATGCCGCTTTACATAAGCACGTTGCCCATGAACTACATGTACCACAATGCATCCCATGTATGCCTTTTTTCTCAGAATTTGACTTTTTTTCTTCAAAAATATGCTTTTTTTCTTCAAAAATATGCTTTCTTTCTCAGAATTTGTCATTTTTCTCAGAATTTTTCTTTTTTTTCTCAAAATGTTACTTTTTTTTTGCAATATGTCACTTATTTTCAAAATATTCTTATTTTCTTTTTTTTCTTTTGACTTTTTTTTCTTCAGAATTTGGCTTTTCTTTTTAAACCATTTTGTGACATTCTCACTGAAAAGACTTGCAATTATTTGCCCTAGACTTCTGCTTTCAGACGTAGTTAATTATGAAGTTATTACCCTATCCGATAATAATCCAATGCAGAGGCAATAATGTAATATAATACATTTTATATATATTAAATATTTATATATGTATTTTTACATAGTCTTATATATAAAACTGGCCCTTTGAGTGCAACCATGATGCTAATGTGGCCCGAGAGGAAATTGAGTTTGACACCCCTGCTGTAGTGTGTTATATAGGTTTTTATCCATGCAAATGGTCTGCAAAGTCTCAAAGTTCCCTCGCCCCACAATCCCCCCCTGCCTAAAATGCCCCGATTGTAGTCCTTTGCTTACTTCGGTAATACTTCTGTAACATAGTGACATCACTATGTAACACTTGCGCTTCTATTGGCTAGTTATCCAACAAATTGTCCGTGATAGGCTGAGGGGCTGGACATCTCTTAGTGGTTGACCAATCACAACAGAGCCGGCCAGCTAACCAATCAGAGCAGACTGGGCTCTGGTTTCAGACAGAGGGTGAAAAGAGGTGCTGCAGCACAGGCAGTATGAGAAAAATAAAGAGCTTGGAGACATGTCACAGTAGAGGCAGAAAATACAAATATGAAACCTGAAAGTTAGTCCCCTAAGTAAAAGATCATTTAAAGCTTAATAAAGTGTATTCCTTTCAATAGTTTTCCTCTCCCATTCATTCCCTCTTTTCTCTACATTGCCCTGGTTGCAGAGGGAATCACAAGACAGGCCCGTCACATGCTGCTTATTTCAATCAGGCTGAGATAATTCGCCCTTTCACTCGTCCTCTCTCGCTTACGCAAGGGAACCAACTAACCTGCACGTTACCATGCCGATTAGAGCGTCTGGGTGGCCCAGTGTGTGTGCGTACCTCAGGAGTTTCCCCCTTTGTCTCCTCTGTGGAAACAATCTTAGTCTGTCCCTCCCCCTCCTTCCACGTTCAAATGATCCACCTGAGCCCCACATTCTCCGTCTCATTTATCGTGTTCACCTCAATTACACCCAGTTTACACCAACTCCCATCACTCTTAGCCCCCACCCCACCCACAGGACCGGATGAGGAGCATCTCTTTGTCTCACCTTGGTGCACACTGCCATCCATCTGTCTGAGCGCATGCCCATTAACACATTTTACAATCCCCTCTCTTAAACCGCGGCACTACATTTCCACAAATCTCCGCATCTGTTTTATGGCGCACTGGAGAATATGAGAAAGTTGAAAGGTCAATGACTGGAGCCAAATCCTTCCTTTGAATCTGCTTCTGCATTTTCCTCTTTTTTTCCGTCAGAAGATGTGTGTCCATCTACTTAAAAAGGCATGTAGCCGTGAAATGGGACAAGATGAGGCACTGCACCCCAACAGATGGAGCCAGGGAGAGAAAGATTGTTTAAAGGGAAAGGGAGCAAAAGAACACACATTATCTTGATATCTATAAATATCAATCAGAGGGACTTTGTCAGATGGCGTAAGCAGCTGTTTTGAGGCTTGGGAAGGATTATTCAGTTTTCATCTTACTTGCCTCTTTTATAGCAGTCGTTGACATAAACCCTTCCATTTTTGGATTTGAATCCCACTACTTGACTTGCAGCATGAAAGCAGATGGCTCGGCACAAAAATATTTTAGACAAACTAAAGGAAGAGTAAAAGGGGCGGGGAGGGGGGGGTTTGAAGAGGGAATGAGCTTGAATAAACCCACCGTCTGACAGATGGATGCAGAATTCATTCGAGGCTGTTAGGACAGGCTTGTTGCTATTTTCGTCACGACACTCATCTCATGCAAAAGGTGGTATGGGGGCTAAAGGAAGGATGAGAGGCACAGAAGTAGATCCAGAGATGTGTATGAGGAGGTGTCTGCTCTCCAGCTGGAGACAGAGAGGATAACAAGCTCCCAGAATGCAGTTGGTCTTGTTTCTGGGGCAGATGAAGACATATTTATACGTTTTTTTTGGTGTCTTTTTACCATACTAATCAGAGCTAATGTGGACGTTTGTTTGAAAATGTTTGTTTGAAGTCAGAACGTTGTGGAATCATGACATAATGTTACTGGGATATTTAACAGAGGGCGGGATTTAGCTGATTTTCTAGTCGTTTTGACTTTCAAAGTTAAACGTTTTTAAGAGTAAGAGCATTTTTGTGAAACTGTAACTCCCTTTGCTATGTCAATTCATTTTGCTGACGATACTTTTACTGTTTTTTTAGTATGCCTGCATGTACAGCTTTTTGTACGTTAAAGTTAAAATCTTCCGGACAAAATGTGAAAAGTGCCGGTCAAAGGTCTTCTTTGTTATTTATTGAGCTTTGAAACAAATGAATAACGACTCTATATAACAATATAAAAATAATACACGGAGCCTCTCTTTTCCTCCCCCTCTCGTGACAGCCCGTCAGTATTTTCGTTATCAGGAAATTATCGTATAGGTCGTAATCACGGAGCCGTTTGCCCCCCAAGAGCGTTGCGTCCCCGTAGATCTACCCACCTTGGGACCCGTTATCGCTATCCGCGTTTCCCTGTCGGCCTCGTGTGGCCGAACCGTCTATAAGATAGAGAACTGTAGCGGATACGACCCGTTTCGTCACCGTGTGGCTAGGCCTTAGCCAATAGAAGCGCAAGTGTTATGTAGTGGTCTCATTATCTCATGGAGGTAATCAAAGGATTTCAATCGAGGCTTTATAGACAGGGGGGGGTGTGTGGGAGAGAACCTCCTTCTGAAGAGAACTTTGGTGTTGACGCCGTTGCCGTAGCTTAAGTGAATCTCCTGTTCAGCACAAGTAACAACAAACGTAAGTGGACTCAGACGGTTAGAAGAAACAAGTGACCTTATATTTCACTTCACTCATTCCCTGTTTTCTCTCTCCTCCTCTCTGCAGTCTCTCATATTCCTAGCCTGCGTGGCGGCTGCGGGGCTCGGCCTCAACCTGCTGTGTCTCGCCATCTACCTGAGCTGTTTGTGCTGCTGCCACAAAGACGAAGAGGAGGAGAGCAAGAAGCCCAACTCCTGCTGCGTCACCTGGTCCGCTGTCACTGCCGGCCTCATCACATGGTGAGAGGCACAATGACATCATGACTAACTGCTGATTACAGTGTGCACACACACGTACAAACACAAACGCAGTCCGTCCATGTTTTCCCATTTTCTTTATTGGTCGCTCAGTATTCCTACTGGAATGGAGTGATGTTTTCCCATTTCCAACACTCTCAGTCTGTTTCTCTATCCCCACATGATATGACCTAGTATAGTTGGTAGTGTGTAGGTGCTCTGTATATTGTCCCATACTGTTTGTCTCTGTTTTCATTTATATATGCTTTTCAGACAACCTCTTTTTTGTAATACCCTATGCTTATATTTGTAGAACATTATGGCTTGGATTCACAATAGCCTAGGAAGACGTCTCTATTCCTTACTTTACCTCAGTGAGACTTTGATGTTGTTTGAAATATTTCTGATAACCCCTACCCTTTCCACATAATTGTAAGACTTGTGCTTTGAAAACCAGACATAAAATGCTCAAAGCAGTGGATGTTTTTGATACTAGTACAAGCAGAGTTTACTTTCAACCTCAGTCCGACATGTGTTTTTCAAAATAGCTCTCTATAGCAAGCTATGGCCTCTGGTTTTGGAGGATATTGTCAGAATAATGTTGTTATTCACCAGGATTTAGTTTACACTGGCATTAAACAACCGGTTAGCATTCTGACTGTTGATGCACCGTCGTTGTGGGCGAAGCGTTCCCGATGATGTGGGTGTATTATGAATATTCTGCTGACAATAATGTAATTGTGCAGCCAACTGCCAGATGTAGCTCTTCACCTTGATGCTTTAAACCTTTGGAAAAGATGCATCAACTGAGTTTGCAAAATACAGAGAAAAAAAGACATGACAAATTCAATAAAATCTAGAGAAACCTATAGTACCGTTTGTTGTGCACGCTAACAGTAATACATATAAAAGCCAAGTAGAAATAAGACAAATCTACATCAGAATATTATCAAATATTTGAGGAATGCTATACTCTTGGTTAGAAAGAAAAGTCACTATACCCTACCCCACATAGCCTACCTCTTAAATCTTGAAAGGAATATTATAAACAGTTTTAGGAGCTACTGTAAGTACAGCTCAGATTCTCTTTTTACTTTCCCTCCAGTTTAATGCTTGCCTGAACTTGGCACTGTAAAATTAATCAAGCCTAGCCTATTTGTTTTGCCTTTTTTTTTTTTAAATCTCCTGTTCACATGGCTGGCTGGATAATGCAGAACAGATCATGGAAAACCAGTCACAGGTTACTAATGATGCATTAAGGTAGAATTGTCATTAGTCCCATTAGCATAGATCTGATGTCACCCCCAGGACACAGAATAAGTCATTTAAATGTGTTCAATAAACCTCTCAAATAAGACTATTTTTGAGGAGATATTTAGCTTTTTTTAAGATATCTGACCCAGTGTTTCCCCTCAGATTTAACAGAGGAGCGCTGCAGTAAGATGTGATTTGTTTTGGCTGGAGGCCGCCTGATATCATCGACTCAATTGTGAACTGAAATCTTTCTTGACATTATGTTAAGCTGCATCTAAAAACGAATAACATCACTATCATAGCCTTTAGCTGGTGTACACACAATGGAGAAGTTCATTGTTTTGACTTGGATAGGAAACATTAACTGTTACAAACTTTAAGGGAAAGATTGTGTGAAACAAATGACTGATGCAAGACAGTCAGCACCAGATAGAAAGTTCCTCGGAGCAGCTAATTGAATTTGTTTCATGAGGAGTGGAAACCTCCCTCAGCCATGTGACAGTCATGTTCAGCAACCAGCCGGTATTATTGAATTAAGCCTTGAGCATTATCGCACGTCTTTCTTTTCCTCAGAGAGGGTTAATTGTTTAAATGTAAATCCTGAAAGCTCAGCTAAAGCTCGTGTTCTGTACCATCTGAAGGTGAATAGGTCATTCTCACAGAAGATAATACAAGAGTTTTTTATAGAGGAAATATGAACTTTTGTACCCCCTCAATTTATAAGTAAATGCTGGTTACTATTGAACATTCTGTACGTCAAATTGCCTTCGTAAAACAGCACTAAAGCACACCAAACAACACTTTTATTCAACAGATGCAAACTCAAACTGCTTCATTTCCCATGCAGTCTTTATAATGTGATATTTTATTATGCATGTGTAATTCTTTAAATGTATAGAAATGATTGACTCAAATATGGCAGCCTTCCTCGCATTAAAGAAGTTTGTTGCAAAGTAATAAATAGATAAGTAATAAATACAGAAAGAAGCAAAGGAGAACTGTTTTTTAATGGCAGACAGTGAGTTTACATACAGTAAATGTTTTAGTTTTTTAACTCTGACTCGAGATATTGACTCAATATGTTGTTTGCTTTCGGAAGCCCCTTCATGAGTTGATTGGCCGGGTAGTGGATTAGATTTGAGACCAATCTGCAAGAGTTCTCCCCACTCTAAATACAATTATATCCATCTGTTTGCTCATCTCTGGCTTCATGCAGGGACCTTTGTAAGGCAAGGCAAGGCACGTTTATTTATATAGCACCTTTCAACACAAGGCAATTCAAAGTGCTTTACAACAATGAAAGACATTAAGAGCATTAAGAAACATATTATAAAAAGATATCTAGAAAAAAATTCATTTAAAAGCAATGATATAAAATGACATTTAAAAACACTCATTTAAAAGCAAAGATAAAAAGCAAAGATAATAAAAGTTACAGTGTAGTTTAGATAGATCAAGATCAGCCTGGATTTAAAAGTAGTAAGAGTTGCAGCGGACCTGCAGGTTTCTGGGAGTTTGTTCCAGATATTTGGAGCATAATAACTGAATGCTGCTTCTCCATGTTTAGTTCTGACTCTGGGGACAGAAAGCAGACCAGTCCCTGAAGACCTGAGAGATCTGGATGGTTCATAATTTAGCAGGAGGTCAGAAATGTATTTTGGGCCTAAACCATTCAAAGCTTTACAAACCAACAGCAGTATTTTGACATCTATTCTTTGACACACAGGAAGCCAGTGTAAAGACTTCAGAACAGGAGTGATGTGATCCACTTTCTTAGTGTTAGTGAGGAGTCGAACAGCGGCGTTCTGAATCAGCTGCAGTTTTCTAATAGATTTTTTAGTGAGACCTGTGAAGACACCATTACAGTAGTCCTGTCTACTGAAGATAAAAGCATGGACAAGTTTTTCCAAATCCTGCTTTGACATCAGTCTTTTAATCCTAGATATGTTCTTTAGGTGATAGTAAGCTGATGTAGTAACTGTTTTAATGTGACTGTTGAAACCAATAACTAATTTAACCCGCTGACAAGAGAGCCCACCTCCGAAGATCGTGACTGGCTGAGGGACAGACTCGGGGGCAGGTTTTCAGGAATTTCTTGGCTTCTCTCCCCCGAGCCAGAAGAGGAACACTACAGCTTGGAAACACTTACTGTTCCTGAAATTATCAAATCTGTTGGGCATCAGGGACCTGAGGCAATTGTGGCAAGCAGGCATTGTCTGAAGAGCAACAGAGGGCAATTCAGGTGGCTACCCTGGTCAGCGAACCAACCCAAACTGGCATTTGTTCAGGAAAGGAAGGTTGACTGCCAGCAACTTTGGAGCTGTCCTGAGGTCAAAGCGTGTGACTGCTTCCTTATTGCCAGGGTGCTAGGGCAACAACAGGCCCTTGATGGTGTTTTGTCTGTACAGTGGGGGACTATGAATGAATGTGAGGGCGTCAGGGCATTCACCACTGCAACCCAGATGCAGGTCCATGAGTCAGATTTGTGGCTCTCCCAATCAGGATTGTTGGGGGCATCTCCAGATGGTCTGGTAGGGTCTTCCGCTGTGCTGGAGGTAAAGTGTCCCTACGGAGCCAGGGAAATGACAATTAGTGAAGCATTGCAAATCAAGGGCTTCTGTGTCAGTAAGAAAGGAGAAACATTCAGCCTGCGTGAGGAACATCCTTACTGGCACC